GACTCTGACTGTCAACCGGCAGGCGAAATGCAGACGACATTGTGGTCTGAACAGAAAGTTGGCACCCGTCCGTGCATGCCTTCACTTAACAGGGTGTGGCAGCTAGCTCCCTGCTCTTACCACATGGTTTATGGGTCACTCAGTGATGAAATGTAGCATGAAATTGCCTGGATTCTTTCTCAGTGCTTGTTATGACAGGACATAACCACAAAACAAGGATTCCCTGTCATCAGCTAAGATCAACCAGAATAACAATCACAATTTTTATTAGCAAAGTTGCACATACAATCAACATCACTTAGGCTTTGTTACAATAATACAAAAACTTGAGAATCCACTATTTAATGAAATCGAGAACATACAGCGCTTCTTTAGGGATAATAAGGCATTTGGTCTCAACAACCCTGAAATATTTTTGTAGTGAATAAAATTGACTAAAATCTATGCTGATGTCTGTTTAGGTTAAACATAAGCAAGCAACAACCTTGGCAACAAGATTGCTCATTATTATATTGTAACACCAGAAACTGGTGTCAGAGGGCAGCTGAAGAAACAACCATTTTTACAGATTCTCATAAAATATTTGTAATGAATGATTTTCTGTGAGAAGACACTATTTTAGCATGTGAAGGATAAGACAAGCAAAGTCTGCTTTGTCCACAGGGGTCACCAAAATTGACACAAACTAAAACTTAAAGCTCCTGTGTGGAGCTTTAAGTCTAAAAATTTAGCGTTTAACTCGATAGTACTCTAAACTGTTGTTTTTGTTGGATGCAAAAAACAAACAAACAAAGAAGCCAACATATAACAAAACAAAGTACGTGTGATATAGGCATTTTATTTCAGTCATCATTCGGCTTACAGTATCATAATTGGTATTGACATAATTGGTATCGGCATACTTTTATGTGGATGGATTTGTCTATTAGCCTCTCCTCAGTCAGGTGGCCCAGTCTTCTAGCTTGCAGGCTAATGTTAGTTCTTTTTCTTTTTCTTTTTTTTTTGAAAAAAAGAGTGTAATTTATTCTTTTTTTGTTTGTTTGTTTGTTTTTTTGTAGTGTACCCACTCAGATTACATGAAAAACTGGGGCCCCGGTCCAACACAGTTAGCTTGGGTTTGTTTGACAATTGTAATTACCCGATACCTCCTGTCTACAATATTTTGAATTTTTAAAGCAGCAGAGAGTTTTATAAATGGTAAAACAGATTTTACTTTATTTTTCTAGTTGTTTACTGTAGCAGGAGAGAAGTTAAAGGGCGAGATCTTGAGGATAGAATCAGTCTTGTCCTTTTCTGCTCAATGCGTGAAAACAGTATTGATTAATGGTCATTGTCCCTCTTATCCACACAGAATGATGTAAAGACCCTACAGTTAGCATCCCCTTCTCCAAGAACATGTTCCATCAATCCCACAGCCAGACGGGCAAGCGATGGCAGGTGGCACATATTTCACCTGCCCAGGCAAAATGGGCCAGTAAGTGGGACAAGGCAGGGAGACAAAAGTGACACATAGGAAGGTGACATGTGAAGGTGACAGCTTTTCACACCTGGGAATAATGGTTTTGATAGGCGTCCTGCTTGTTTCTCTGCTGTGGACCAGACAGAGACCAAAAATGTGTGATAATATACACAATTAGCTCATGGCGCAAAAAGACCTGCGGCCTTCACAAGCCGGGGCACATCTAAACTCTACCTTTCACCAGGAAGCGTGGCGGCTCCTGCTCGCCACAATACCTCAGGAAAACCATGTTTTGACACATCAAGGATACAATTATTGGACCCTGAAGTCATGCTTGTCCACACATGCAGCCTATCACTTAGATATAGTGAATAGTTGTGGGAGCGCTGCAGTTAATTTCCACATCAGCAGCAGAAAAATATCACTCCTACTTCATCTGGTTCTCCACTGCAAAGAATACAAATTATCACCAATGCAGTACACATGTGTATGCTGCATATATTCCTGTGATGTCCCTGTCTTGTCTGTTTTGTGTCCGATGATATTACACATGTGCAGCCACTTCAAAAGTAAAGCAGTGTTAATATCACTTTGGATGTCCAATTTATTCCGTCACAATTTCCCGTTCCCATGTGTTTTGTAAAGGAGAAGATGGCCCTTCAACAGAGAAGCCTCGCCAATTTATGTGTCATTATCACTGTCACTACATGCAGAGCTATTTTTGTTTTTCATCTGACCATGTTGACATGTTCGCCACATTAATGTCCCACAGAGGAGCTGCAGTCTGACAGAATAGAGGATCTGTGGGGATGTGATGGGATGTTTTTGATCATCTATATTATCTGCAAACTCTCCTTATAGCTCATCAGTGCAGGACAAAGAGGCACTTCTTAGTCTCTGCAGGGCATCTCTGAGACACTCCAGCTTATCACTAGCAGATCTTATAAGCTGTTGGCCCTAAATTGAGAAAGAGGCCGGAATAAATCAATAAAATCAGGCCTCTAATAAGGTGAGAAAGGATTAAATATACATGGTAAACCTCAAACGTGAAAACTAAAAACAACCTGAAGCCACAGTTAGTAGAGATTACCGAAAAGTTGAGTAGAAACCCAAAACCCTTTTACAGTTTAATTGCCATGTATAAAGATTTTTAATTCTAATGATGTTGTTAATTTTACAACAAATATATCAAGCTAAACAGGGCAGCTTTTCAGCCTCTGTAATCTTTTTCACATTGCGCCAACTCATCCCTTTTACAGGAATGTTATAGTCTCTACTTAGCACTGACTGTATAAACCATAGGCAAAGTTTTAGTGATGTCCCCCGCTGGTTTTTGGAAAGGTCAAAAGATGGCCGTTGTAGGTACTAGATGTGGTTGTGTTGCCAGATCAGCTTTGGGCCCAGTGCCTGTTGAAGACGTCACACTACAGTAAGTCCACTCGGACAAACTACATTGTGCTCCATTTATTAAGTCAAATGTGCTCAGTTAAAACCCCCCTGTGGCTTTCTTTATTTCCATTTGTTCATTCAATTGACCTCAAAATTTTCTCTCCATTTAATACAGAGAATTACAACCTACTCTATTGTAAATTTTAGTTGGCTTTAATTGTATATCTTAACTTTTCTAAAGGAAAAAGAAAAAAAATGTATGCAGGATCTCCATTTATCAATAGATAGTTTTACTTTTATTCCACATTTCCTTTGGCAACCTAAAAGAGGTGGTAGCCAGGCTGTTGTAATTCCCCTTTGATAAGCAGTGATAGATTGATCATATAGCGTGACGTCATCAACAGACGCGATCTGGCACCCCAAGCTGATCTGGCAGCCTGAACAAAGCTGGTACCTACACTGTCACCCACTAGAAGAGCTGACTCCAATGGACTTGAAGCTTGTATCTGGAAACTGGAACAGCAGCAGGTTTGAGGCGTGTATCTCCAACTAAGCAGTCTTTGGTCTTGAACAATAAAGTCAATGTGGAAGTCCAAAAAACTGCAGTCCTTCAAGTGTCCACTGGGGTTTGGAGGCTGGCTCTTAAAGACAAGGTAACCCAATTAGCTCCCATAATGAATTTGCCAACCTAACAGTCTGGTACAAATACTAATATGAAGATCTCTAACTGAACACGGGATGTAGGGGAAAGGGATATTCTGTTTTTGATGGGATTTTTACACTTCATCAGAGTGTCTCAGATTTTCAGTTTAGACTGATTTTTTTGACAATATCATAGTCCTCAGGTTTCCATGTCATGGCCAGTCAGGCTTTATGGTTGCTTAAAATATATGTTTTGACCTGTTTAAAACAAAGAGAAAAACCAAACTAGAACACGAGAGGTACAAATACTTTCTAAATAACGTAAATGTTGCTGGGAACAGCAGTTTTACACAGTTTAAGAAGAAAAAGAGTGGACAACCAAGCAGAACCTCCTGAAGCGTGCAAATGGTCACATTTTTGTACACAGTCCTGTTTAATTCCCAGTGTGTAACAATTCGCTGTTAAAACTCTGCTATTGGAGATTGATCATGTAGCAGCCCTAGCAACACAATCAACCTGCAGCAGAACAATGTTAAGATTATAGTGTAAAACTAATCAGGATATAGCTTAATAATAAAAGTACAACAGTGTTGTATTATGTTAATATGATGCAGTGGATTAAATTCTGTAATGAATAACTAGCAGCTGCTTTCTAAGAAAGACATGTTCGCTATCTTACGTCTGATGAGATTTTATTAATCAGGTGAGAATCTCCTGCAGGTTCAGACACAAGCACAGTTAGAAATCAAAGACCTTTAAAAATAAGTTTATTATTGTTGAAACAGCTCAGAGTGCAATCCTCACACAGCAATGACAGGTTTGAGTGAACAGAGGTGAGATTTCAGATAACTGTTCTTAACAGTTATTAATTGGCCTGTAATCTGACGTGTTAACTGAGTTATTAGGAACCACACTTTTTTATAACTACAGTATGGTGTGTAAATATTACTTTAATATGAACTGAGTGTGTTTTAAGTATGTCTTTAATTCATTTACATATAGACTGTCACAGTAATTAATTAACTAAACAACCATAATATGCAAAGAGTTCAAATGGTATTTATAGAATCAGAATGCTGATCAAAGACACATTTATTCTCACAATAATAATATGATGGAGAGAGACAGCTGGACTTATGTTCTCTACTCCTGATCTTCTCTGAATCTGGATAGAGATCTGAAATGTGTTTATAGCAGGCTGGACTCAAGGAAACCAAGTCCAAACTAGCGTTTCATTTGGCCTTAAAAAGCAGAGTTGGCTGATTAAACTCTTTTTCTATTTCCTCTTCTCTTCCTGTGGTTGAATTTATCTGGATAGGGAGGTGACCCGTTGGGCAGGCTTCCAGCTCGGTTGTGAGAAAGATGCAGTGGCTGGAGGAGTTCAGAGGTTGGGGTGTAAGGCAGAGCCATCAGGGATGAGCCAGGTCAAGCTATTTAAGTCAATAACGCTCACCCTGTCTGACAGCCAGAGCAACACCTTCCTGATCCACAAGGCCAGTGGACAAAGGAGGGGCAGCTTTGTCTCATCAGCGAGGGATTGTGGGCTCTGGCTGCTGCAGGACGGCTGGAGGGGGCAGGGGCATGTGTCGGAGCATCCCTGTAGAGCAGGCATTACAATGAAGGACTCACTGTAGTTGACCTCGCCTTGGGCCACATGTGTCACCAGCATGGCCATCAATATTATCATGTCATCACATTTGCACTTCAAAAATACAAGACACTACTGGATCTGTTCTATCATCAATGTCTGTGTTAATATGCAGTTAAAGTTATTTTCATTGGAAGAAGAAAGCGCTCCATCAATTACTTATTCAAACTGATAGTTAATGAAGACATCTATGTAGTCCTGCTAATTCTTTAGTCTGGCATCATTCAACTACTGCAAAACAAAGACTGTTAGGACAAGGAGCTCATCGTTTCAAAGCCCGTGGTTTAGCGAAATTTGCTTTTACATTGTGAATTTGGAGACAGAATTGACAACCTGGTAACGGGAGAATGTGTACCCTGAAAAAGTGAGGGACTGGCAAATTCTAATTTCCAAACCTTGTGCAGACATTGGATAGTTTTATAAAGTGGCCAATATACAGTTGTTGGAGGAGTCACCTGCACAGGGATCACATAACATCACACACACACACACACACACACACACACACACACACACACACACACACACACACACACACACACACACACACCAAACTAACTATGGCTCAAAAGGCCAATTTTCAGTGTAAAGCATTTAAAAAAAAAAAAAAAAAAAGATAAATTAATTTATTGTGAAATAAAACAAATTTTGAAATCTGCAAATTATCTCGTGAAATGCAAAAACGTTAAACAGACCAAAAAAAAAAAAAAAAAATGCTATAACATCTCATGACTCACCATAACATATAACAGTGGGGAAAACAATTTGAAAGAGTGCATAAAAGTCACAGAGTGTGCCATGTTCACACATTTCATTTTTGTTTTCATCAAAAATACATTCTGTGAAAGTTTGAAATTTGGAGATATAATTTTGCACTTACGCATTTTATAATGTGTTTATTGAAGCATTTTTTATATTATGTGCATATTTTTGGCATTTCATTACACATTTTTTAAATTTCTATGTAGGTTTTTTGGCATTCAGTGAAATGCTTTCACAATCATGGATGACCTACAGTACAGAGTCACTGTACTAATTAATGTAGATAGTCTTCGTGTTTATGAAGAAATTATAATGGTTTTGCAGCGGCCCTGACCCACCATTTTTTCCACACGGAACAGCTAACAGTGATTAGAATTCCAGGGTTTGCAATTGCACATCAAAAATATCTGAGAAACTGATCACTGACAAGTGTGCAACATGCACGAATGGGAAGTGATCAGATGTTATTTCTGCTAATACCACCATTTATCTTGGACGGTCTTTAAAAACATCAACATTACATAGACTGCCAAAGTTACATATCCCCAGTGCTTAAATTGTCCTCCAGGAGGTGCCGGGTCCCCCTCTGGAGCGCGCGCCGCAAAAATATCCTTTTTTTCTCTGGTTTTTAACAAGTTTTTATTGTCTTTTTCACCTAATTTCCGCACCTACCTAGTCTAGCATTTGCAGCAACATTTGGCACACAATATTTGCGCGTGGTGCCGGTGCAGAAACAAAACCATCCCAATGCGCATTGCGTAGTGACACGTGACGGCATAAATCACTTTTTCCCCCTGTTTTACCTAATTTCTGAGTAAAATGCATAAGAAATAAGCTAACAGGTGTCACTTCAGAGAGAAATAAAACACAGAGAAAACATAGATAAAAACACAGTTTATTTATTGACAGGGAAGGTCCCGGAGCAGATCAAACAGGTCCCGGCGCACGCTCCGGCTTGCCCCGGAACAAATTGAGCACTGCATATCCCCCAAGTCACTGAAGGAGGCTGTTCCTTCTAAAGCTTTGATTGAATTTGAATGGATGATAAATATACATCTTCACCCTCTGTAAAGTAGTGTAAGACAAGCAAATGAGCCAAAGAAACACAGATGTTGTTACAAATGATATAAAAATAGGTTTTGTTCTGGAAGTTAAGCATTTCAAATAGGATCTTATGGGTGTTGACTCACAATTGGAAATAGCCCCAAGTGGCCTTAGGTGGAACAGCAGTATTGCACTCTTCAGCTCCCTGTGTTAGAGCTTTGTCAAACCAAAAAAATATTCACAAATTTGAGAAACACTTAGTTAGTTAGTAACCTTTATTTAACCAGGAAATAAAACCCATTGAGATTCAGAATCTCTTTTACGAGGGGGTCCTGGCCAGGATAGCAGCACAAGAAGTTCCACATAAAGAAAAGAAAAACACACACACAGAAACACAAAACAGTTACAGTATGCAAAACACAACAATAAATCAGCGTTCAGTAAGAAGACATGTGCATTCAGTACTTTAAAACTCCTTGATTCTAGTTTTAAAATTTGCCATACTTGGCAGATAATCCAATTTAAAATAACCCTGTAATTTACACCAGGAGGAGGGTGCAAAAGCCTTGAAAGCGCTTTCGCCAAAAACCGTCCTTGTCAGAGGAATAGCGTACATGATCTGTCCATCTGTACTTAAAAATCTAAGTTTGAAATTGCTCTGTATTAAGGGTTACTTATGTGTATGCTAACCAGGGATGCTGGTTCTCGAATATGACCACCTTTTTTCAGTAATGAGTAATTTATGAGTTATGAGTAATTTTTGTCATTGAGAGTGACATCATGTATAGGACAACTCACGTGTAATACATACCAAGCAGCCAACGACATAAACGTAAACAACAATGTAGGGAGGAAAGAGATGTGTGTTTTCTTGCCGGAAATACTGTCACTATTTTGAGTTTGTGTCAACTAAAGATGAGAAAAAATTAAGGTTCATTGTTTACTCTGTGCTGGCAATGGTGACAAAGTGTTATCTTGCTTGAAAAACACTATGTCAAATTTGAAGAAACATTTGTTGCAGCACAGCACAGTCAAACTTACAAAGAGAGTCCCAGCAGGTGGTGCAAAACAGAGAGCTGGGACTATTACAGGAGGTCCCCTACCACCCAAACAACAAGAGCTGGACTGAAGTGCTAAACCAGAAATTGAGGGAGAGTTGAAGAAGTTGGTCAGGCAGTTTGTTGTAGAGGAAATGCTGCGCTTAAACACAGTTGACTGGTTTTTATGTTGAGGTTGAGGGGGGTGGCATGTCGTCGGCAGTTGCTGAATATAACTAATAGAGTAACTTGTAATCTAACTTAGTTACTTTTAAAATCAAGTCATTAATAAAGTAACTGAGTCACTTTTTAAAGGAGTAATCAGATTTTTTTTCAAGGTAACTGTGACAACACTAATGCTAACGTATATTTTGTGTTGTGTATTTCTGAATTAGACGTATTTTACAAACTGCGTTTAACACCTGAATGCAGTATAGCTAAATCAGCAGCTCTGTGCACTCTGTATAACCTCTCAGTCCTTGTGTGGAGTCAATTGTCCTTCCTCTTTCCAAGCCTATAAAATGTCCCTTATCAATATTTTAGCACATCAATTGTAACCTTCGGTAAACGCATCACCTCCTGAAAAGTAAATTATTAGTGGACACAGTCTCTAGGGATTGACTGTCTGGGACGCTGTCAAGGTTTTCTCTCATATGTTTGCTCTTTCTCACACAATCTTGGAGGGGTAGGGGACCAATAGATTCCAGAAAAAGCTCTTGTTGAGGATTTTTCAAACTAAACAATGCCCTGGGCATATTGTATTCTCAGGAGGACTGTTGGCCACAGTAGATATGCCTCAGTTCCCAGACAGCTGAACACTGTAGAGCACATTCAGAAGTCCTGCACACAGAGTTGAGTTTAGGATTTGAATCAAAGGTCTAAATGCACAAATCCGGTCCATATTGTAAGGTCTTACAGGCCCTAAAAGAGGAGATCTCAGATATATTTGTGTTTTATTTAACCATGTTTGTTGTAATTTCAAAGACCCAGTACCAGGATAAGATTGAGACAATAATGTTGATATATTGTGGTGAATTTATTAGAACAAAGTTATTGTCTTGAAAGAATTAAATAATAAAATTTATATACTCAAACAGCTATCTGCTCGCTCTACAATGGAGGACGCAGATTATCCTGCAAAGTTATTCTCAATGGACAGGAAGAAACAGTGGTTACCATTCAGCCTGCCTGTCAGACTAGTTTATTAGGATTCCCATGAGCTTCCTGGGGTCCAACCACATATTTACAGCTGTGACAGTGTATTATAATGAATAAAAATCTACATGTAGCATTAAAGACTATAAAATATACACATAAGAGCTCACTTCACTATACATAAAGCTACAACACAGACGGGTCAAGACTGACATCCACACATGTCCTAAACAAACAGACAGGTCCTGGTAAGCAGCTGTCAGACAATCAGTGAAAAATGAGCAGCATTTTTCTGCTCTTCCAATTTAAGACAAGCTGTGGGCTAATACTATACCTTTTTGCTAATACATTATTGACTTTGTTGTTCACATTTTTCCTCTTTTGTAATGTGACCCCAACGCTCACCTGCAAATCGAGTCTTTTTATATATTCGTAAAATTCATAGCTCAGTATTTGTAGCTTGTTTGGAAAAATAACATAGGTTACTTACATATATCATATTGTAGGAGCCTTTCATGCAAACTATAGCTGATCAGGCATTGCTGGAAAAGACCTGCAGAGCGAGAGCGCTTCATCACAGCGAGATGATGATGTTCATCAGAGTGTGAACTTTCTCCAGGCAGTCTGAGGAAGAGCTGGCACGCAGAATGATTACCTTTTAATCTTGGAAAGAGCTTAAAAACACAGATTATCATTTCATAGCCAGTTTTTACCAGCCTCGAGTCTGATGGTTATTAATTTTGTAAATAGTATTGATGTAAAATATTGAAGTAGCAGTTTTAGTCTAAAAATATTTCTCACTTCATCTGACACATGGAAAAGAAAACATGGCACTCTGAGAGGAAGAGGATGAAGAGTTCTCTTACCTTAAATGTAAAATGTGCTGGAGTGATACGTCTCAGTGAAGAGGTCAGTAAAGAGGTTTACTCTGAAAAATCAGGATGATAGTTCAACATTAGCGGCTGAATAAGATGTAACACTGGGAAATGAAGTGATAGCAACAGAGAGGACGCACCATGAAGAACAACAAATAACGTGCACAAATTTCACATCCACAAAAATATTGGTCAGTGCATAAAAAAATAAAAAAATAAACCTCACCCCAGTGTACAGAGAGTACCAGGAGGATAAAGATACCTTGTTGATTAGTTTTAACACTAATAGTGTTTTTTTAAAGACTGACTGAATCAATCTATGAAGTGTTGAAGTGAAGCCAGTCACATCCTTTTTACACATTACTGACTTTACTTTAAACCACCTCCACAGCCACAAGCTAAGCATTGCTCATGTCATCTGCAAATCTCAAATCGTAGCTTCTGACGCGAACCGCTGCACAGAAGCCAAGTGCCAAAGGGCTCTGGCCAAAGCCAGCATCAGACTTTAAAGTGATTTGAAACAGTGAGCAAAGGAGGGGCAGAATTTGCCTGGAAGCCTACCATAGACAGGAGCTTCAATCTTCAATGGAATGGAAAAAAAGAAAGAAAAAGACCAGAAAGGGGAAGAAACAGTAGCATGGCCAGCTCATCCATCATTTCTTTAAAAGGTCAGGATTTTGTAGGTGGAATTGGGAAGAGCAGCGAATTGCAGATGCAGCGAACAGCAGGGTATTTTCCGCTGCCATGACCAGCTAAGGAGAGCTCCTTTAAAACACATCTGCCAGTAAACATTTTGGCCTGACTCTGGGTCATCTCTCCTGTCTGGACCAGACCCAGCAGAGCGTGAAGATGTACCTGCACAAACCCCGAGACAGACTTAGTCACTTCAGACTTTTCCTCTCAGCCCTATACCGCCTCCTTTAATTGTCATACTGAAAATCCTGTTTCTGAAGGTTTTTCCTCACCTCTTACTTTAAATCAAAAGTTTCCATATGTGTTTTTTTAGATTATGATAATAATATTCATACTGATGCTTTCCATTCTTTTCATAAACATTTCTTTTATTTCAAGACCCGCTTTCTCCCTCTTTACTTTCTCCATCTTTGTCATCATTTTGAAATGTTTTAGTGTTTTTACACCAAAAAAAAACAAAAAAACAAAATCAAGAATCAACTCTGTAATAATTCCTTTCATCTGAAATGCTGAAGTTTATATACTATTTGATTGCCTGCTCATATTTTTGGTTTCTGGTGGATTTTAATATATCCTTCAAAAAAGTTTGAAGTCACCTTCCTTAAATTATTGATGAGCTGAGTCCCAAAAAGTAAATCTTTTATATTATGCACTCAAGACAATTTAGTTTTGCACTCTTTATATTCCTCTTGTGGGGAGAAGTTGATACTTTGTGCACAGATTATAATGACCATGTGCTCTTGCAGTTCTCTTGTGTACATGGGATATTTAGAGAGCGAAAAAAGTTATTCTCAAACTCACAAAAGTAATATTATGCATAGAAAATAAATATTGATATTCACTTTTCCCACATGTGTTTACTCATGAACAAGCGGTTTTCTTGTGCCTTGTCTTGTGTGTTAAATAATCATTGTGCTAACAAAAGTATCTTGTTCATACAAGACAATTAACTGGTGTCTAAAAGATATATACACTTTTTTTATAATTGGAGCTAATTATAAAGATAGTTATGTTGTCTGCCCCCAAACTCTGGAACTCTCTCCCCCCGGATCTCAGAAACATGGACTCACTACCCCACTTCAAATCAAAACTCAAAACACATCTGTTCCAAATTGCATATTCTCTTTAACTGTCCATCTTCATACCTGCATGTTGTTTTTAATTTGTTTTAACTGTATTTTAACTGTGTTTTTAATGCCCTGTACAGTGTCCTTGGGTGTCCAGAAAGGCGCTTTTAAATAAAATAGTATTATTATTATTATTATTATTATTTGATTATCCAGTGCTCACACAATATTCATCTTGTAATTTTATATATGTGTGTGTGTGTGTGTGTGTGTGTGTGTGTGTGTGTGTATATATATATATATATATATATATGTATATATACACATATATATCGTTGTCCCTAGAATACTATCTATGCACACAAGATTTTTTTTTTTTTTTTCAACAAGATCACATTAAAATTATCTTGCAGTTAAGCCATCATTTAATGCCCATGAGATCATGACTTTTGCGTACAGGGTAACAACTTTTACATGGTATTTATCTTGTGGGGATGTTATTATCTTGTGCATACAATATATCTTTACCTAGTGCACACAGAGTTTATTTTGTTTCATTTCTTATGTTCACGTTTTAATCAACAAGTTTCTTATTTATTCTCAAATCATATCTTCTACAGCTAACATGTCCATATTTTGAACAGCAGTGTGAACACTAACTCAGAGCAAGTTAAGTTACAACAAACAAACCCTGACGTCCTTATAAACCCCCTTGTAAAACCAACAGGGTCCTGAATTAGATTTTCACAAAATGGTGTATTTAATAAATGACAGGAAATGGTGACAGCATAACACGGCAAACAATTGAATGAAATGTCATCTGAAATGATCTGTGATTATCTGACTACAGGTCTCAAAGGTACATTTGGTAAAATCACAAGGAAATGGGGCAAAGAAATCACCAGCAAGAGCTGTCTGAAGTAAAGCACCATCAGTAGCTTATAGTGCCTCTTTACCTCCTTAAACCACCCGAGACGAGGGAAGGAGTGACCTTCTGACATTATAGATGGGGAGAAACAAACCAAACACACGTCACTCATAAAAGGAGCACACTTTTTCAGGATGTGCTGTACTTACAGAGGAATTCAGTGCAGTCAGAAAGCACTTTCTCCTCCTCTGTCAGAGTGATGAAAAGGTTGCTCTCCCAGAGAAAATAAAACTGGCGAGAGGGACAGATGTGAGCTCTCTTCTAAGTCTCTCCATCAGCCCCGTAGATGCTGCTCAGACACCCTTGGGATGCGCACACACATCTGGAAAGAATTGTCAATGGGATTGATACAGTGCCTAGAGTAATAAAAAATGAATTTCCTTACTGCGATGTAAACACAAATGACCTGAGCCGTGATGCATTTGCTCAGATCCGCTTTAATCCCCCCATATCTGTGTCTTCCTCACTCTCCGTCTCATGTGCTTCTTAAGCTAGTGTGCACACAGTTCGAGCATAGTCGGTAATTGCAAATAGTCCTGAGGATTGTGTGGATTCAGCCCCAGTATTAGGGAAACCATCACGCCCAAATGGCTCACTAGTTAAAGCTGGGCAGATCTTAAACACCTGTTTAAAGGTGTCTTAATATCAGAATCTAAAAAGCAGATGGAGCATTATTACTCTCCTATAGAGATATAACGAGCTCCAAGCTGCTGTACGTTCTTTTGAACAGCCTGCGAGCACGGCTAGACAAGTAAAAGAGAAGTGATACATTAAACATGAATTGTTCGAAGGACACAGACTACATAAAAGCATGTGGTGACAGGGTCACAGGCTTTGTGCACGACAGAGTGGAGGGGACAGATTTGCAGAGTCTTTTAATGTGCACGCTTGTGCTTAACATTGTTTAGAGCTCAGTGATTTGAGATTACTACCACAGGGGGCGGCCCCAGGGCATTTTTTATGATGAGCTTTGGAAAAATGTTGCTCTGTAAGATGGTCAGTGTTTTCCTCAGCAGGAAGAAAAAATCTTACAAAAACATATCAAGCTTGAGGTCTCTGAAAACATGGATTAGAATAGTGAAAATGTTTATGATATTAAATTTGGCAGTCTCAGTAAGAACCCACAGAATCTAAGTGATAAACTGTATTTACCATAAGGCTTGGAAAACAGTTGATTTTGCTGACTTTATCACTCTATCAGTCTCAGACTGTGTGACCATGGTAGATCACATTTAGGTTGACATCTGCCTACAATACCAAATGTGACATTAGTCAAACCATCAATAAAGTCACATTTAGGTTGCCTTTGTCTAAATCAGAGGGAGAAGTGGGAGCCCTGTGGTCTAAAAATGGTCATCTTTGCTGGTCACTGTATGATAATTAACAATGTACAACTTTAGGTACACAGAAATGCTTGTGTGAGTGGTACTGCATTTGACTTTAACGTTGAGGTATAATTACATGTAAATGCAGATTGATATTTGTGTTTTGTAGATGCAGTTTTTACATTCAAATGTAGAGCAAATTATATACAGTCATGCATCGCAAAAAGAGGTCTTGGTCCAGATATCCTACTGGACTTGTCTAAAGAGCTTTCTTAAAGCCTCAAAAAAAGTGCCTATGAGGACTTTTTTGACATCTATTAAATAGACTGTAATTCACATTTATGTTTTTTCATGCCTTACAAAAGCAAACTGTAACTGCCTCATTGTTGTCGGATGATTGTAGATTTATGTTCGGAGAAAAGCAGGTGGTTTTGCACAAAGACATGATATACGTAGTAGATGCCTGATTACATGCTGGAGCATAATCTGCCATATTGGATGGGTTTCCTTACTCTGGACTCGTACTAGAGCCAAACAGAGTCAACAGAGAACAAGCAACTATGGTTGAAAAATCAGACGCAGTGCTGATATCAGATCACATTTAAAAAGTAAAATTAAAATATAAATTTGATCCATGTCCAAGATGGCTGCCGCGCTGATATGTTAGCTCCAATAGGCAGCGTCAGTCTATAAGGCGTCCACATATTTTATGTCTATGGTATTGCACATGTAGTGTTAGCCGTGATTACCTGAACTTTTCAATGTAGTTCAAATAAAAAATCAAAACGACAACTTTTTTCAGTATATAGTGAATAATTATCAAGCAGCCTCATCCATTGTCAAAACAGTTAACTGCATTCAGCATCAAACATCAATATAAGCCAAGACGCATATCCTGGGAATGATGCTAGCACTTGGTGTTGTCAGCCAAATAGCTGTTGGAAGACTAAGGTAATTATTTAATAAATATTTGAGACCGACTCTGCCCAATTCAAACCAAAATCCAAGATCTAAGTTACAAGATCCTAAAATATCTGGGGAAATTGGGCACTTGTGGACTCAAACCCAGAAAACAACTTGCCTGGTAACTACAGTTTCTGCACATGAGGCTGCAAACAGGATCTTTCGTCAACCAGAGGGCACTGCCTTGTTCATTTAAGACTCTGTTCCGCAACCAAGAGATAAATACTGAGTAAAAAATAATAAAGAAAAAAATCTAGAAAAACTGAGTGGGAGACAATCTTCAAACACAGTTTTTTTTAAGGGTAATGTTACAGTCTATGCATGTTTATGCTTGTTTTATCAAATCAGAAATGAAAAAGGTGCCAGCACTCATATTTAAGTCCAAAGAATAATTCCCTAAGGATGGACAGCTGTCCAGTGTCCAGTGTGTATCCCGAGTCAGCAGCAAGTGACTTTGGAGACTTTTGAGCTGTACAGACTAGCCCCCGTCTTAGGCCATATTAGCTGAAATAACAGACTATACATATTACTGTGTCTAACAGGTAACCTTTGGCACTTAAAATTATGCAAAAACAAGATGGAAGGATATCAAAATTCACAATACGTCAGGGATTCGTACACTGCAAACCCAATAAGCTGATTAGCAAACAGCATTGAAGCTAAATGCTTGGGTCAGAGTCTCTCAAAATCAGACAAATTACGTCTTAGACTTGAAAATGTCTGCAGAACACGCTCGTCAAGCTTTGTGCTGGTTCTCCCCACAGATTTTTGTTAAGGACGAAGAAATGACCAGCATCTATTGTTGCTAATCACTTACCAGAGCCATAACTTCTACAAACTTATGAACTAAAATAACCCTTTAGTATCTGATCATGATGCCCAATTAAACCCAACTTTAGTTTTAGAGCTTATACATTACCTTGTATGTTAACACCCTCGGAGAAAATGAGGCTAATATCATTAAATTCCCTCAATAGTCTTTGGTTTTCCAGCAGTTACGTAGTAAGCTTTAAACTATACAACAACAATGACTGATATACTTCTTACCCTGATAGTGATGTTTAGACGGAATATTTCAGACAGATTCAGCCCCATTGCCCATTTCAGTAACCTCCACCCTCAAAGAGCCACTCAGCGGGTCCTGAAGTTGTGGCCTTGAAAGTTCTGCTCCTGCTCCATGAATGATTTCTGGGATAGAGAGTCAGGTTCCAGGCTGCCAGCCGGCCTCTAGGGACCTCTTCATTATCTGTCATTAAATGTTTTTAAGTTTGCATAATTGATCTTCTCCAATAAGTCGTCATTGATTTATAGAGGTCTGGGCTGAGGGAGGAACTGGTTAAAAATTCATAACCCTGCTACGCGTCTTCACAATCCATTAGCTGCTCCTGGACCCGGAGTCCTCCCCATTGATTGACCTTGTGCCGAGAATCTCATGGACGCTGCATTTTTCCCTCTTTCATTGCTCTGTGGGAAGAGTTATGTTTCAGCTTTTTTCCCCTGATAGGTCTTACTTTGATTTTCTTCCTCTCTGACTCTCTGTCTCACCCTCCTTGTGTCTCTCTGTTCCTCCATCCAAACTGAAGACTGTACTCTGAGACGATGAATAAATAAAGCATGTTCCATAAACAGCTTTCCACTATTATTTAAGCTTCCAGGACCTTGCACTCTGACAGCCTGCTCTCCCTGCCATCAAATTCAAGTGTGTAAATTTTCTAAAAGGCTCTGAATGTTTTATGATGATTTCAGGGAATGATGGAGTAATAGCTGAATAGTGAAGCTATTACTTTTAATATTTATATTGAGTGCTTTGAATCATTAATGTGACAGGATGTAAAATCAGAGCTGCAGGACGTATGTACTTCACAACCACAGCCACTTGGCAAAAAATATTTGTTTCCTAAAGCAGCTGGTCCCAAACTGTTGTGGGCAATCTAGCAGGGCATGAAGGTGACGCTTCTGTCCATTAATTTTAATCTTATCTTCAGAGAAGGCCATTCTTGGAAAGCATTAGTTTGAATATGGAGCATGGAGGAGACAGATTGAAACATATCTTTGAGAGTAACATGTCCATAATTCAGAGGTCAGGTCTTGGTAGGGCTTGACAATAGATCTCTTTTATTCTGCACGTGAGCTGTGAAACTCAGCAATGTTTTCAAAGTCAAATATAAAAGTCTGTTGCTCTTGGCAGAAGCACAAATGAAAGAAATTTAAAGCCAAAAAGATTCTGATTTTACTTTCTTTAAAAAAAAAAAACACCATTTAAGCTATTATACATTTTGATTCAAAGATTTATTATGAGTATTTAATTTGTTTTCAGACTTTTTATCTTAGCTTTTTTCTTCTGGTTGAAATTGCTTCAAAGCTCCTGTAGAGCGTTTTTGGAGGGCTATTAAACAAAGTGAAATAAACAGTGATAGGTCTCTAGGATGTACAAATGCAAAAGAGACGATTGATGACACGATTGATGGTTACTATAATGCAATTTGTTCACACCTGTAACTTCTATGACGGTGTTGGTACACCAAAGAATAAACATTTGTTTCTTTTCACACCATAAATCATTGCATTGAAAGTGCATCCGCTCTCATGAGGGCAGCACAAAATCAGCAACATTAAAAAGGTCACCACTTTATCCACAGGAGGCGCTGAAGTCAACACAGACAGAAAGCCCCTCACGAGAGCTTCAATGTAAGACTTTAATTAGTAGCCCTGGCATTCATTGTTTCAACTGTGGCATTGTGGCACTGACAACCAAAGAAACATGATCTACATCTTGCCTCTGTTTCAGACCTGCGTTGATGTGCAGCAGCACCTGGCCGGTATGATAGACTCATCATTCAATTAAAGCTCCTGTGAGGAACTTTCATCAGCATGTAGTGATAACTCCTAAACTCTAAGTTTGTCTGAATTTGACATTATTTTCATCATTCAATGCACAGCTTTGGACGACTTATAAGTTACACCAGACTCACGTGATTGTTCAGAATCAAATTGTATTAATACTGAGTAGCAATAATGATGCTAGGAAAAATGGACTATCAAATCAGTCTGTGAAAAGGAGTTACTAAAGTAAGAACAAATTCTCCAGTAACTATGAAAGAGTTAGGTAAGTTAATTGTGGAAATTTATCAAAAGTTTTTAAAATAAATCTATCATTTTACTTTGCAAATCACAACAATATCAGTGCTCTTGGATTCATGATCTTAAAACTGTAATTTCAATGTTTTATTATTAGATACTGTATATTTGATCTAAGTATGCTTTTAGACAAATAACTGATGGCAGTTTGAAGATTAAATTTCTTTCTCCTACAATACCTTTCTGCTACAACTTCACAGTATTGATATTTTTATTTCTTTGCACTTTGCAAACAGCCAACCCCAAAAGAAGAAAGGGAGTGAAATAAGTGATGGTCAGAGGTTATTCCACAGTGTGTGATTTTTTTCTCAGATTTGTAGCCCTGGTTTGGGTGTTGTTTTTGTCCCTTCAGCACAGGGAGCTTTACTCTGTGTATCCGGAGCTTGGCAGTTAAAGGCCAGTTTATTCTTGCGGGTATCAGGCAGCCTGGTCCTGAGGGAATGAGCTCTTTCATGCACAGTTAGTGCACTTGACTCAGCATGGAGATGCTTTCAGATGGAAAAGCCATGTTTAGAGGACGTCTTATGAGACATTAAAGCACTACTGTTCCATTGTTTTAGCTCTTCCTAAATGTCACTTTCCTCTCCTGAGCCTGCCCTTCACCCAGACATTATGGGACACATCACAGAGAGAGGCCTTTTCTCTGCTCCCACTGAGGGTCCATTTGGAAAAAGAAGGAGGATGTAAACTCAACACAGCAGCCATTACTGTCAGCCCTATCTGTTTACTTTCACTGCAATATTTATTGACAGAAAAACAGGACAAATCAGTCAAATTACAGCCTCTTAATGGGATGTTTGAGAAAAGTTTCTGCTCCATTTCCTGTAACCTTAATTCTTAAATGTTTGGTTGTGTTTGTTTTTTTGTTTTTTAACATTGCAGATTGGCTTTGACATTTTGGATGAGTTTTAAAGGACAATGGTGGATGTAGTGTTTTAATGTTAAATGATTTCAATGTGAGTCAAATTTCAAAGGAAACCATCCTTTAACGTGAAAATTACATGACCAATAAACTTGCAATTTTTTAAGTTACACACTTAGAATTTTTCACTATTGTAGTGTTTAATATGAATCCTATGAGAGGGGTAACTGCCACCAGATGCACTCACATGGTCAGATCTGGTAGATGTCCTGGCTATTTCTGTATGATGATGTTTTATGTGTAACTGGCTTTCCGTAATCACATCTTTTACATTCACTGCACTAGCAGTACTGCTCCGTTAATGCTGTCCATCAGCACTATGCATTATTATTATTATATTATTTATTTTTTTTTACCTATACTCAATTGAATGCTCTACAAAAACAAGATATTTAATGTTCAATTTGATACACTCGACTTTTTTTTTTTTTTTTTTGCAGAAGACTTTAAAAATTGAGGAGTGCTCCAAAAACACCTGTTTGTATCATTCCACAGGTGAACAGGTTCATTGGAAACAGCTTATTATGATGATTGAGTATAAAAAAAAAGCATGCTCAGTCCTTCACAAGCAAGGATGTGGCCAGATCCACTACTTTGTCAACAACTGTGTCAGCATTTTTTTCCCAACAGTTTAAGAACAACGTTTCTCAAAGAATTCAGGAAACTCATCATCTACAGTCCATAATATCTTGAATAGATTCAGAGAATCCAAAGAAATCTCAGCACATAAGCAGCAAGGCCCAAAACCAACATTGAATGACTGTGACCTTTGACCCCTCTGGCGGAACTGCATCAAACACCTCAATCATTCTGTAAAGGAAATTCCCATGTGGGCTCAAGAGGACTTCAGAAAACCATTTTCAGTTAATACAGTTTGTCTCCACATCTACAAGAGCAAGTTCAAACTTTACCATACAAAGACAAAGCCAGATATTAACAACAGCCAGAAACACCAGCGGCTTCTTTGAACCTGGCGTAGGCGCGGTGTGAGCCAGGTCCACCGCGCCGACAAGGCGTGTCCAAGCACATTTGTGTATTTGGGTGAGCGGCGCAAGTATCCCCCCTCCCTAACTCAGCTCCCTCCAGCGGCGTAAGTCGTAGAGAGGGAGGAGAGAAGCGTGGAGTGGGTTTAACACAGCCAAGACCTGTTTTCGCCAATCATAACAGCTCCTCTCCTCAACTTTAAATCCGCCACCGGTGAGGCGTATTACAATTTTATTGCAGTAGTCAAAGAGATCAAGAGATGTCTGAAGACAGCAATGCCACACAATGGCGACAGAAGGCAGCCTCTTTCTTTCATAGATGTTGGCATATAAAATAAATCTGGCTCACAAAACTGAATAATATAATATTCGTATGTGGGCCTGACTCCGAAATTAATATTCACAGAATTCCTGTCCATCTTCAGGACAGGAAGAGGACATAACGACATGTCCGAGTAGAGCTGTGCGAGAAAAAGGAGGAAGAGAGATAGAGGGACAATTTAAAATATCTTGTTAACTTCATCATGTGTAACCGTTTACTGGATATTTTATTTAATGCGGTTTCAGCTGTGTCGATTCGGTCAGGTTGTGTGCCCAAACGCGTGCCAAACGCGCTGATCAGATAAGATATAGATCAGAATATATCAATATAGATCTAAATGTATGTGCTGACTCAGATTATTAGTTGTTGTTGATTATTTATTGCACTGAAATTTGCCTGACTCTGTGGAAACCTGCCTGTTAGGCATCGGTGACGTATGTGCACTACACCACCGGTCTACCAAAATACCACGAGACCAGCTGCGCTCCGCCTGCGCTGAAAGCTGACCAGGTTTGAATTGGCGAGCTTTCAATGCACTTTCCACGCCGTCAGTGTGTACGAAAATGTCACTGCGCCAGCTGATTCTGTCGACACCTCCCCCTGCCGCGCCACCACGCTCAGCTGGGCGAACTTCAGTGCGCCTCAGTCTACAAAAATACCAAACTGGCTGTGCGCCAGGCTCCACCAGATGAAAATACCACTGCGCAGGGTCCGCCACCGTCTGCAGCG